CTCTCCAGTGAAACCATGTGCCCTAAGGCAAAAATCTTTTTTTTTTTTTTAAATCACCATCAAGATATGTAAACTTAGGGGACCAGCAGTTAGCGTAATGGCTATGTCGCTGGACTCCCATGTAGTCGACCGCGGTTCGTGTCCCGGACCCAGTGGCTTAAACTCACACTGGACACGTGTGTGTGCCCAAGATCCCAAGAGGAGAACAGAGGAGAAGGGATTGCGGCGTGGCCATCCCTCCTGGGGGGTGATTTCTTGCTTTCTGTCTCTCTATCTCTCTTTGTCTGCACATGCCCTATAGCAAAAACATCTCCAAAAAAACCCCAAAAAGATATGTAAACTTAGGTGTTCTTTCAAAAGTTTTATTTAAGAATGGGTAAAATACTACGTTGTTGAGGGTAGGAGAAGGTTGTTTGGAAATAAATCACTGATAATGTAACTAGAAATGGGCCCAGGCATGGTGCTGCAGTGATAGCGCCCCATTCTGCAACTCTGGAAGCCATATGGAAGGTTGGAGGCTGGTTCCGGGGGTGACCTGTGAATACTGGACTGTGCCTTTGATCTTGGCTGACAAGGGTCTGGGGAGGGATGGTGGCATGAGACCCTCATACTTGTCTTTCTCTTATGAAATAAGTAAATAAATAACCTTCTATATGCAAAGTATTATTGTATATAAATAAAAATAACTTGAAATATATATAAAATCACCCAATGTACCGTGCTAAAAGGTGACCAATTAGGTATTGGCTAATTTCCAAACTTTTTACCCCTTCGTCTCTTCTGTCTTTAGAGCAGCCTCACTGTATTTGCTTTAAAGAAGCAAGGTGGGAGGCTAGCAGGTGGTTTGGTGGTTAGGGCCCTGGAATCCCACATGGCCGACAGTGGTTCGAGTCCTGGGCCTGGCAGGTAGCTTTCTTACTTTCCCTTTCTCTCTCTGTCTCTCTATGGTCCAATTGAAAAATAAATAAAAATGACAAATAAATAAATAAATAAATCTTAAAAGAAAAGTAAAGAAGCAAGGTGGTAGGTTGTGTTCACGTGATTCTCTCAAGTAAGTTGTTTTTCTTTTTTTCTTTTTCCTTTTCTCCGTATCAGATGCAAAGCCTGGGTGTCACATTGTTTATGTAGATAGACTCGTGTACCATTGCTGCCCAGCGGGGCTTTTGGCTGGTTGTGAGGAATTTGTCATTGACTGGGGTGTGCTGTTCATAAGTAAGAAAGATTTTCTTACGAAAGAGACAAAGCATTGAAAGGGAGACTGGGAACACCCCCCATCACCGCCACTAGGGGGATGGCCACACAGCAATCCCTTCTCTTCCATTCTCCTTGTGTGTGTGCATGCCCAAGATCCTGAGAGGAGAACAGAGGAGAAAGGATTGTGGCATGACCATCCCTGTGCGGGGTGATTTCTCGTATTTCCTTTCATTGTCGCTGTCTCTGTCTCTCTCCAGTGAAACCATGTGCCCTAAGGCAAAAATCTTTTTTTTTTTTTAAATCACCATCAAGATATGTAAACTTAGGGGACCAGCAGTTAGCGTAATGGCTATGTCGCTGGACTCCCATGTAGTCGACCGCGGTTCGTGTCCCGGACCCAGTGGCTTAAACTCACACTGGACACGTGTGTGTGCCCAAGATCCCAAGAGGAGAACAGAGGAGAAGGGATTGCGGCGTGGCCATCCCTCCTGGGGGGTGATTTCTTGCTTTCTGTCTCTCTATCTCTCTTTGTCTGTCTGGCGAGCGCACATGCCCTATAGCAAAAACCTCTCCAAAAAAACCCCAAAAAGATATGTAAACTTAGGTGTTCTTTCAAAAGTTTTATTTAAGAATGGGTAAAATACTACGTTGTTGAGGGTAGGAGAAGGTTGTTTGGAAATAAATCACTGATAATGTAACTAGAAATGGGCCCAGGCATGGTGCTGCAGTGATAGCGCCCCATTCTGCAACTCTGGAAGCCATATGGAAGGTTGGAGGCTGGTTCCGGGGTTGACCTGTGAATACTGGACTGTGCCTTTGATCTTGGCTGACAAGGGTCTGGGGAGGGATGGTGGCATGAGACCCTCATACTTGTCTTTCTCTTATGAAATAAGTAAATAAATAACCTTCTATATGCAAAGTATTATTGTATATAAATAAAAATAACTTGAAATATATATAAAATCACCCAATGTACCGTGCTAAAAGGTGACCAATTAGGTATTGGCTAATTTCCAAACTTTTTACCCCTTCGTCTCTTCTGTCTTTAGAGCAGCCTCACTGTATTTGCTTTAAAGAAGCAAGGTGGGAGGCTAGCAGGTGGTTTGGTGGTTAGGGCCCTGGAATCCCACATGGCCGACAGTGGTTCGAGTCCTGGGCCTGGCAGGTAGCTTTCTTACTTTCCCTTTCTCTCTCTGTCTCTCTATGGTCCAATTGAAAAATAAATAAAAATGACAAATAAATAAATAAATAAATCTTAAAAGAAAAGTAAAGAAGCAAGGTGGTAGGTTGTGTTCACGTGATTCTCTCAAGTAAGTTGTTTTTCTTTTTTTCTTTTTCCTTTTCTCCGTATCAGATGCAAAGCCTGGGTGTCACATTGTTTATGTAGATAGACTCGTGTACCATTGCTGCCCAGCGGGGCTTTTGGCTGGTTGTGAGGAATTTGTCATTGACTGGGGTGTGCTGTTCATAAGTAAGAAAGATTTTCTTACGAAAGAGACAAAGCATTGAAAGGGAGACTGGGAACACCCCCCATCACCGCCACTAGGGGGATGGCCACACAGCAATCCCTTCTCTTCCATTCTCCTCCCAGGATCTTGGGCATGCACACACACATACCCAGCATAAGTTTCTTTCTTTGTTTTTTTCTTCTTTTTTAAAAAATAATTATTTTATTTAACTTTATTTATTTATTTTAAGTTTGACCAGAGAGGGACAGAGTGAGGGAGGGAAAGTGAGAAAGCAAGCCGCCAGGTCCAAGACTCAAACTGCAGTCGGCCATGTGGGAGTCCAGGACCCTCAACCGCCACCCCACCTGCTGGCATCCCCAGCATAAGTTTCAAGTCTCCAGGTTTGGGACTCAAACTGTGGTCAGCCATGTCGGAGTCCAGTGACGTAATCACTGCGCCATCTCCTGTCCCCTCAACGAGAACTGTGCATTTCTTGTCTGTTCAGTGTTTCTTGCCTTTGGCATCTCACACCCACCCTCTACTCCCCACCCTCCTCCCTTACAGTCGCTGGTATTTATGCTTATCCTCTCTACTGTCATATCTTCAGATCTTTCCATTTCTGCCAGAGAGCGCAGATCCTTGGTACACATTGCGTGGAGATATACAGTGTGTGTCTTTCAATACATTGTCTTTCAAAGCCTGACTCACTTCGCCCAGTGTTGCCTTCTATTAATATATTCATCCACTTTGAATCAGATAATAGGGTCATTGTTTTTTATAGCTGAGTATATATGTGCCACAGATTTTCAATCCAGAGTGTAGAAAGCATTTTTTAACACTAAAATCTTTTATAGGTAACGTCTCCCAAAAGTTGATATTTCATTTGCTAAGACTAGAGTCAGAGAAGAAAAAAATCTCTAATGGGTAAGGGCTACCTAAGATAGTTCTCATTGATCAATTTTATATGCACAGATTTATCTCTCTCCCCCTCCCCAAAAAAACTGCCACGCAGCAAAGGCTTCTGAAGAACTGCCTTCAGAAGGAAGTCGCAGCAGCCACTCTGCTAAGTGCCCTGCTTGGAGGGCTGTGGGCTCCCTGCTGAGAAGTACTGCAGGCACTTTGTCAGCTGCTGCCTGGCACCAGTTCTGTCACCGCCCCGGAGGGGGACGGGGGCCCAGCTCCCAGAGGGAACCAAGATTTGCAGGCCATGCTCTTGGACTGGACAGAATGGTCTGTACCAGGAATAAGGTGTTCTGTGCCTGTTCGATTAAGCTATTTCTACAGACTCATTTTCAAGTGTTTTGAACTTTATAGATCATTTAAACATTGATATCAGTTTATATACACTTAAAACATTTTTTTTTGAAGACTAGATTAACTTTATTTCCAAATCATCAGTATGTTTTCTATTACTTAAGAGTGAAGGTTGATGGTTAAGGTGCTAGACTCCCACATGGAAAACAGTAGTTTAAGTCCTGGACCTGGTAGCTTGAAACTCACGCCACACATGTGTGTGTGCATGCCCAGAATCTGGAGAGGAGAATGGAAGGAAGGGATTGCAGTGTGGCCATCACCCCAGGGGGTGATTTCTCACTTTCTCTGC